CTTTTGTCATCTCAAGAGATTTGACAACCGCCATCATCCAATGAAAACATTTCAATATAAATCATTTTTTTGGGCATCACTTGAGCAGCTTCTTCAACTATTGTATCTTCACTTAAACCTTTTGGGCAAAAAGATGCCCCTCTTTGATGCTGTTCATTCGTTTAGAAATCTGTGAATGTTTCTGTGAACATTGTGTCCAGGAACTCTTTAACCCTTCTGTATATTAGATTCTAAAGTTAGATATTAGGAGTGGGACGAAACAAAACCTCCAAATTTTGTCCTTTGGAAACAATATTTCAAGGTTTATTTTATGATGATGCTGATTGGTCTTTATGTGTCTCCAAATCATCACCCATAACCTTTTGTTAAAAGAGAACTATAAACAAAGTTTTTTTTGGGGGGGCTTTAGTTCTCTTTTGGGTCACAGGAGGACATTTATTAAAGTGTCCTCCTGTGACCCAACGTTAGCATATAGTGGCCTACTGTCTGCGAAATGCTGACAGTGCAGAGCCATGCTGCAGCCAGGAAAGATCCCAACAATATTGTTGGGATCCACCCCACTGCCTGATTGACATCTGGCTTTGCCACTCTAGATCGCTCAGTTGTGATCACTCAGATCTCGATCTATAGAGCAGCCGTGAAAAATGCAGTGTCCATTTTAGAGTTCAAATCCAGGCAGATATAAAAGTGTTTTGACATGCAAGCAGTGTAAGTACCTGCATTTGATATCAGATATCAGCCTCTTGCAAACCCTGTTCAGCAGAGCTCAAACTGGGATAAGGAAAAAGAGCACGAGGAGCATCAATTTGTGCTAACAAGGAATATGCTGATAGGAGTTGGGAACAGAGTGATAAGCCCATCAGTGTGCTGCTTCTCCTTTTACTGTCCAGTCAAAGGCTGTGGGAAGGAAGAGACCTGCATGTGTTACTTAACTGTGGCAGTGCTGTGTACATCTCAGAAAAGGACAGATATAGAAGTCATTTGGCAGGTAAATTAGCTGCTTTATTGGTATTTCATATATGTATTTTACAGCTTGCCTGGAGTTCAGCTTTAACCGCCTCCAGGCCGGAAACAATATAACAATAAACTATAGAGCCAGCGGATCGCTTGTATAACATGCCGTTCTGTAACCTCCCCCTCCCACTGGTCCCGGGCTCCACTGTGCCCGGTGCGAGCCTTGGACCAGCATGGTGGCTCTGTGACAGGGGATCAGAGGGAAAGCGGTACACGATCTCCCTCCGGTCCCCTCTCCACTGTCAGAATGCGGAAGTGATGTATATCAGAAGCTGAAGAGAAGCTGATGCAGCAGATCTCTGCTGCATCAGCTTCTCTGGGGGTCCCTAGGTGACATTAGGGGTCTTGGAGACCCCTGATGTCTCCATAACGAGGACCTGTCACATCCTCTTTGCTATCACATAGGAGGGTTTTCTTAACCCCCTATGTGATAGCAATAAAGTGGGGAAAAAAAGTTGCAAAATTTTTTTATAGTCACACATGAAAAATAATTTTTAAAAAACAAACATTTTTGTAAAGTCACCACCCATACATGCATGCAAACATGCGTCGGGTGCGCATACGTGCGAAAACTACGATTGCGCTCATTACGCCACACATGTTACATATCGCCGCAAATGATGCAGTGAGAGCAATAATTCTAGGGCCAATAATCACTGATAACACTAAACTGATGAGCGGCAAAAGCTTTTAAAGCGTCGCCTATGGTCAATGTTGGGTATAGTAGTTTTTGCGATTTTGCGGGCGCGCACAATTTTAAAGCTTGACATGTTTGGTGTCTATTTACCCAATGTGACCCCGTCTTTTATATTTTACCAAAAAATGTGGTAATATTGAATGTACTATAACATAATGTAACAATGTAAAAAAATATATATTTCTGTAATTTTTTCTTAATATAGTAAAAAATAAAACCCCAGTGGTGATTAAATACCACCAAAAGAAAGCTCTTATCTGTCCCCAAAAATGGTATAAAAATAATTTCAGTACAGCGTTTCATGATGGATTAAACGTCAAAGTATCGCAGCGCTGAACACTGAAAAATGGCCTGGGCAGGAAGGGGGTGTAAACACCCCGGTCTTTAAGTGGTTAACAAGCCTATGTGTGCAGTGTCCTTATACATGATACACTGTGATAACACTAAATAATAAACAGTAGTGACTACAAGCATCAGCTATATTCCATGATAGAGCCCGATTTGGTGTTCCTTTAAAGTGCAGTACCCTGCTCTGTGTAATACAATTTCCCGATAAATCATATTAACTCTCTTTGAACAACCCCATCCTCATTCCGACATCTCCAGTGCAAAGATTTCTACATCACTGGGCATCTCTGTCTGTCATTTCCAGTAGGAAGGATCTCTCTTTCATGCAGTTCAGCACAATAACACTGCAGCATGTTAAGTGTCATGTCAATGAAGTGGAAAGCAAGCAGATCAGAAGAGGAAGACGACACAGACACTGTGAGGGAATAAGGTAGATCCACGTGATGGAAGCCACATGTGTGCACGCGGATGCCAGCTCATGGTATAAGGAAGAAAGAAACAGACGCTTCATGTTTTTCTTTCTGCTGTTACTGCCAAGGCAGAAATGTAACAAAAAATGCTTCTTTTTTGAACATGCAAGGTTGTATCATATGACTAAAGATGGCAAAACACAGGAGATGTTAAATGGAATTCCAGACAAAACATTTGGTTTTGGACAGAGCAGAGAAGGGTTAGAACATGTTTTTGCTGAGCCCTTGCTAAGAAAATGTCCCAGAGACAAAGAAAGAACTCTCCCCAGACCAGAGCTGTACATGTGGCTTTAATTCAACCCAAGCTGAGATTAAGCCCTACCACCTCTGTCCCAGAACTAAGGTATGCAGTGGAGGCTCTGGCACCTGACTGCTGAATGAGCAGGGGTGTGGTTTAGAAACAGGAGGGGTGGATATTATCTTGACTTGGGAAAAGGTTGAGGGCCCATGTACAGCCTGGGGCCTAGGATCAAAGGACGCTCCACAGAGACAAAAGGTATGGCTTTAAAGACTATACACCGGCACTTGCAGGTACCATATGGTACTCACACATTAGCACTGTTGCAACCTTAAAAACTATTTAGACCGAACGAATAATAGCATATAGATTGAAATCTGAGAACCTGTTCCATAAGAGGTGGGACTCATGGATCCAGTTTCAAAAACAAGATGCTTAAAGTGAGAGAGTAGTTTGACTTTACTATGTTTCACGATGTGCCACTATTATACTGACTGCGCATTCATAGCTCCTCCCCACTGTCCTTCCTATCCCCTACCCTCACTTATATGTAAGGCCCTTTCCTCCCGTCAGCCCATCTTTTCCTACTCCTTCCCTTTTACTACCCTTCTAGACTCCCTATAGTATAATAATTTCCTTCTCAGAGTTATGCTATTGTTGATCGACATGTATACTTCCAATGGGGGGTTCGCATAGGGAGGTTTAATTACCGCTACATTCCATTGCGACCATTTTGGCCTTCTCGACCCCAAGGCGGAAGAATTACCAGGTTTAGTAGATGATGATATATAAGTCTTAAAGTTACTACAATGCCAAACCTGTATCTATATTCGAATGTAGTCAACATTGTTTGTGTTGCAGATATTTTATAACTTAATAAAAATCTAAAGTTTAAAAACTATTTAGACCAGTTCAGGTTTACGTTACAGATCTGAGAATGGCCCATACTTGCTTTGATAGAGAGTGTTTCTATTTTTTCAAACCCCTTTCCCTGATGCACTTATCTGAATAGATCTGACTGAGGGGTTCCCAACATTCGTAGTTCTCAAATCTATGTAACCAGCTCTGCAAATTGTCTTCACTTCCCAGTGCTTGTCACTGCCAACTCATTAACACATAAAGTACCCAGTTGCTGTAACTAACAGACAATTATGGCTTGTCCCACAGCGTACACCTAGCACAATGCCCGCAGTACATAGAGACCTGATAACTGAACATACTTCGGAGCACATTTTTGAAAGGCAATGTCTTATTTATGATCTATATAAACCATCTGCACAGTGAAAGCATTGCTCCATTCTGCCTGCCAAACACTACATCTGCAATATCCAAATGTATACTATTTCAGAATGTTATTGTTACTTGTAAATGTTCATTACCCATTACTGGGGCACAATGCAGCTACCAGCAACAGTGCTTAATAGGCTGGAAAATAAGGCAAGTAAACGGTTATTAGTTGTCTCTCTGTATGACTTGTCAACAAAGCTATTGTATTTAATTCCATCATTATATACGCTATATATGTCCATTACATTTGAGGATTGTTGAGGTTTTTTTAAAAAAAAAAAAGCTCGAGAGACTACAATCTCAATACAAATTAGTAAATTAAACATGAGATTGTAGTCCATCATGGAAGTGAGCTTGGAGCGGTGACTACTTTACAACACACACAGGGACCATGGGGAACAAAAGTAGCCACCCTCCAGAAGGAAGGACAGTGTCAGCAGCAATTCAAAGATGATTTGAGGATCTACAGCCGAGTGTTACACAAATAAGATACATTTTTGTTAATGGTTAGGGATTTGAATGCATTTTTAGCTCCCGAGTCCTGTCACTTTAATTGTTGCCTGTGTCTCTTTAGTGGAGTGGAATTTAATCCACTTCCCGTCTCAGATGGCACCAGCAACTTGTACAGGAGAAAAAGTTTCTAGCCCCATCCCACCAACAAAGCGCTTTTCTTGTGGCCTGTGTTTATTTCTTCTCACTTTCTATTTCGGATGGCACCGGTCAACAGAAAAAGAAGTAAATGGAAATCTCCCCATTGGAGGAACACAAGGCAAAAACAAAACAAACAACTATTCAAAAAACTTGGTTGACTTCTTCATCACTATAATTCATAATATGCAAACAGCTGTCAGTGTATTTCACACAAATAGTACCACAAGGTCCTCCGAAGAAATGAGAGGACTCCATTGATCCACACACTTGAATACAGTAGGGTAGGGTACAATACCTTTTGTTTGTGTTGTTAAGGGACATGGTAAGGTTTCTATTGGCTGCTGATTTCCGGTGGGAGAGCTTGCTTTCTGTGATGCCGACATCTTGCTCGGTCTTCTCCTGTTTCGGAGTGCTGCCCCCCTTGCTGTTGAGGTCTCTCAGCACATCGTAGTTAATCTTGCTGGAGATTTTCTTCTGTTCCAGCATTTTCTCAATGGCTTCCCCGGCTGTGCTGGCATGGATAGGAGCTCTGCGTTTAGAAGGCTTCTTTGGCTGTATAGTAGAATATAAACTCATATGTAATATATATTTATACATGTTCTAAAATAGAACTCTTTGAAAAATATTAATATGGAATATCAAGTAGGATGTGAAAAAGGAATGTAACGAAGCATGGAAATCCAAAACTTTAAGTTATAAAGAAGCCAAAACCCGAGTTACCTGGTCAATGATGAACAAGAAAATAACAGCAAACCTAACAGGCTCAGGGACAAAGTTTTCAAAGAACCCGATCCCCTGAGGGCCAACATTACATATGATCATATTTTGAGAAACATCTCCTTTGCCTTTCAAACTGCTCTCTTGGTAGACATGTTCTGTGGGGGTCCCCTAGCCACCAGCCACCTTTGCAGCTCCTCAGTGCTGTATAGCAGCTTTTTTTTTTTTCCAAATCCTGCAGGCTGGCCCGCTTATGCACTGCACACTCTCCATTGAATCCTATGGAGAGTTTATACTATGCTGGAACACAGTAATTGCTCTCTATATGATTTAATAGAGAATGTACTGTGCATGAGCAGGCCCAGCAAAGCTTTGACAAGCAGCTGTGCAGCAATGATGGGCCGCGCAGCAGGTATCTTACAGAATTTGTGACAGGTGAGTATAAGCCTAGGAGAGGGGCCCCACAGAACATGTGTAACACTTTCACAGCCACAGACATATATCTTATATCTCCAATTTATCCCTCTTGACATTCCCTTCATCTCTGCCCCTTATCCCTCTAATTCCCCCTTCATCTCTCTATTTACCTTCATATTTCATGTTTTTGGACAACATCCTAATTGAGAATAATGTAATGTTATACATAGTCTGAGAAATAAATCCAATTCACAACTATTGTAATAAATGTGTAAAATTTGATATGATTAGCAGATAACTATATAACAGTGTAACATCCGGCAATCAATATGTTATACCACCAAAAATACAAATGTACCTTTAGGTTATTACTCATTACGCAGCACAGATATTGTAACCAGAAAATCTCACATTTCAATTGTTACACTATATACCTACTGACTTTGTGATAAAAATGTATTGGAGAGAAATAAACCATTTAACTTGGTTATATGGCCATCTAAATCCTATAGGCAAGTTTAATCACCTGCTTGATTCTTGTCTTCTTCAATGACATCCGTCTCATATAATATCTCTGTGACTTCTGTACCTGCACCATTGTCATTGAGAAACACAGCAAGGCTGAAATAATCATTCTGGGTGAACTTAAAGATGCCTATAACCATTAGATGACAAACTCCTGATCCAGGCCATAATCTAATGTCTATGAAGCAGTCACAGACACTGTCAGAAGAGCCTCAACAGGAATATTAGTCCACTCACCACCTTGCTTGCGATATGACTTGTTAGTCTGCTGCAAACAATCAGGAGCCTTAGGTTTCTCTCAATGAGAACTCCTGTATATTACAAGTATGCACTACTGACACGTCATTGACTAGATATTTTATAGCACATACAAACTGTGGGTCCTACTAGAATACTCTTCAACGCCCCTTCCTCTTATAATGGATTCAACTCCAGGTTAGCTGCCCCCCCCCCATATGATCTGCAGCACCCCCTCCCTCATTCTACAAAAATGTAAACTCTCTTGTTTTTATTTCTTTTAAAAATTTGTACCCTATTGCACCAATACTGGGATACTTGGCTTTACATCCCTGGGCCTTCATGTATCCATCTTCTTATGCTGGTCAGGTATGGCTCACTCTCCGACAGCCAGGGCTCTAAGAAATGGATGCTTGGGCTCCTTAAGCACTCTCACTTCAGAGTTGGCTTCCCATCTCGGCCACTGCCTCAAATAGTTTCAATTGTGGAATTGTCCTAATCAACTCGATGGCCAGTGACCTCATTCTACAGATCTTTCCCCCTTTGAGACTCTGTACTTGCAATCTGAAACCCTCACACACACAATCACCCAAATTTCTATTATCCTAAGTCAAGAGAAGAACACCACTCTTAATCACATTTCTGCTTGGAAAAAGGGCCAGAAGAGAAACGTTAAGATCGTAACACGTTGGTATAAATACCCTTCCACCAGAAGGAAAATAGTCCCCTCCAACCAATTCCTGCACGTCACCATGCTAAACACTTTACTATCTATGAACAGCACACAGGCCTTAAAGTCTTAAAAACACCAAAAAGTGTGCTTCTCTCAGTGCCTCCCAGTTCCTTTCTCTATTGCTAAGGAAGGCATACTACACTTCTACCCCTTAGCCGTCAGAGCCACAATCCCAAATCATTGGAGATTTACTTAATTAAAGAAAGGGTCACTGAAATTACCAACCTTCAGCACGTGGAGGAACTGACAGCCTTCTTACATGACAGATTCAAACAATATATCTCCATATCTGGATCACTTTTATGGGCTCCACTCATTTTAGGAACTCTCTTCAATGACAATGACACCTTTGCATAGTATTAACGTAAGCTCCATCACATGGGCACCAGTCCCTCTCCCACATCCCCAGCCATATGAACCTTAGCCCCCATCTCTGAACCTTCCTGAACCTGCTACACTGCTTCCCTGACACTTTCTCTTTTTTTTTTTTTTCTTGCACATGGGACAACCTTGAAATCAACATTAGGCAATAACAATCCAACCTGCTAAAATTCTACTCAGAGCCTTAATGCCCCAGATAACAACCGGTCCCCTTGGTTTACTATCTGTCGTAATAATTGTTGGTGCTTGACTGACCCTCTGAATGTCCGGTTGCTCCATAACGGCACATTTCTCGTACATGAAAAAGGACCATGGCAGGGTCACTGAATATCATTTTCATGAAAGCTAAATACATAAACATATTAAAAACAACTTTTGTAAAGATATGAACATGCTCAAGCTTCTATGAGATTTAAGTGACTGGGCTTAGGTCTACATCATGTCTACCCAGAGTTTGTGCTAGATGAAGAGCACGTCTGGCATTTTCTAAGGCAAGACCCAGCATCTCCAGAATACTCCATGCATGGAATAGTTGATGTGCATGGAGAGATTTCCCAAGAGTATCATCATTCAGAAAAGAACAATCATAGCCCCCATCCGTTATGGCCAGATTAGCCAGATCAAGGCAAATCCAATCAAGCTATGTCGCTTATAATGAACGGACACACTTTACATCAGCTAGCCAAACTGGTCATGCAACGTGAGCAGCTGTTAATAATTAAATTGTTCTAGTTTTGGCTTAAATGTATCAGATAATTTAACAGGTTTTGTTGTATGGCAGCATTTGATATATTGTGATTAATGAACAGGAGCTTTCAAGGTCAAACAAAGCAACGTTCAACATTACCACTGATCAGAGAATGGGAGAGACAAGGAGGCACCAGTTCCATGAAAGAACGGAATGGTTTTAGATACTGTGTATAAAATTATTGGTTCAATATGCCATCTGTTTTGGTCTGCTCCTGTGACTCAGGTAAGCCAACACAGCTCCACCCCCTAAAGCAATGTGACTGGTCTAAGTGTTGTGTGTATTAATCAAGTGGTAAAGCAATTAACACCCGAGCGGCAACTGACATGTATGTTAATGTTAGCACTTACCTTAAATGATGTCTCTTAATCCAATCTTCTTCTTCTTCTTTCCTGATGTTTTCATCTGTCCCTCCAGCGGTGCGGCGGCTCTCCGATCCAGCGCTGGCTCCTCTGTCCTTGCTGGCACTTCCTATCCAGCAGTGTCTGCATGCGGGTGCACGCGTCCATAGACTTACCTTGCGTCTCTGCTCTCCCAGTCGAAAATCGGAACTACGCATGCGCCCGCCCCAAGATGCTTTGCGGCCGCCCGAGCATTTTCGGATTCTCTGGCGGGAGCACGCGGCGAAAACGGGGTAATTTTTAACCGCTGTTAAACCATTTTTCCCCCCAACTTTTTGCCTATATCTACTGCTTGCTAGCAGTAGATAGAGGCAAAAAATTGAGGCTTTAGAACGCCTTTAAGCATTGGAAGTACGTAATAATACTTCAAGCTTCAAAAACAACTATGAGGTGAGTGATTTCCACTCATCCTCATAGTAGGAGCCGACCTGTGACAATGAAATTGTAGCTCGCTATATACTGAGCTTTAGCATATGTCCTCTTGTAACCCTTAAGAGAACTATGGGGAAAAGCACTTACCCCATAGTTCTCCTTTAAATATTAATAAGGCAGGTGTAAAAGACACAAATAATGTGGCCCTGTATTTAAGAATATCTTCCTAAATGTATCTTTAAATGCAAATAGTGTAAGTACCTAGGATTGACATGGTATTAGCTTCTTGCAGTTAGTGTAAGGCAGAGCAAGAGGAGGGACAAGCTGCACAAGGATCAGCAATGAGCATGCTGATAGGAGAAGAGAGATACAGAGATGAACTTGTCAGCGTGCTACTTTTCCTTTCACTGTCAATTCAGAGTGGAGGAGGGAAGAAGGAATGTAAGTGTAAGTGAAACTGCAGCCAGAAAAGATCTGGTCCCTTTCCTGCCAGACAGGGCTGTGTTGTGTAGCAAAGATGTGTAAATCTCCGGACTGAATGGCCAGAAATACAAATCCTTTTAGACAGGTAAAACAGCTTCCATATATGCATTTCATCTGTGTATTAAACTGTTTGCCTGGAACTCAGCTTCAAGAACCTCTGAGTTCCTGAGAGAAAAATCATTGTTTCAGCAGTCCTGAAATCGCATTGAGGTTGGGCTGGTCTATAGATGATCCTACAATCAATGAGAAATTAACTCATCTATAGCCAACCTACAGCTGCCCATGCAGGACCAAGGAAATGCAATTTATGACATACTTATAATGGTTTCTCCTATAAGTATTCTCTGACATGAGACTACTCGCATATGAAAAGGCCAGGATAGAAGATGAGGTCACACAAGGGACACACAATTTTACGTATCTGGTTCTCATATGACTGCTTCTATTGACAACGGCATGAAAGAGGTATCTGGTACCCCATCAAAACGCCCACATTGGTAATCCTGGCCATTAATGAGTGAGCTGAGAAGGTGTTGGG